ACGTGAAACGAAGGCGAGGTACACCGGAGGGAGAAATGGCTCTCTCCGGGCTGTCTTAAACTCTTACTTAACCGCATTAAGACGAGCACCTGAGCGGCGTTCAGGAATGCTACATGCGTGTGTTCCAGTAGCCTCATCTGACACGAGGGGTGTCCAACACACAGGGCATTTCGAGGCCCCACTCAAAACTGAACGCAATGCAGATTTTTTGGAGCGCCAAAGAACAACTTAACTGGTGGCTGGAAATGAGAAATCTCGGGCCATTTAAATTCATCACACTATTTAATTAAGAACGATTTTAAATTAATCATCAGAGATTTCCCAAGTGGTCATCTCCCTCCAAGTTTTCCGAATAAAATGTTATATGCATTTATATAATCAATGCGTGCTGCATGCCCCGCCAATCCTGCCTTTCCTTATTCGGTGATCATCGTAATATTTGGCGAAGAATACAAATCAAATGCACGTTTCACGCCACTGCACTGTTCTGTAAGTGCACACAGAGCGTCTCCTTTCTGAGAACTGACCACGTAACATCGCATTTCGTAAGCTTCAGCTGCTTGTGCCATTATCAACTGAGATATGAAGCCCGTTTAATTACGCCTTACGAAATGTTGCATCACGTTACACAATTCAAAGAGTGTCTCGTTTCAAGCTGTGGTGGTCAATTCTGTTCAGGGAAATAAGAGAGATTTTTACAACGGAACGAAAAAGGGACCAACGTTTCGCAAAAGTTCCTTACATCCGTCTAGAATTAAGGTTTTACAGTCAAATTTGCCCGAAGCGACTGAACAAATTACAAGTCGTCTTACAGTTTTTGTGAATAAAAACTCTTAAAACTTTCAACAAGAGTAGCCAAGACAGATCGGCTGTAATTACATCAAACCCCGAACACGATTGAATCGTCCGCATTCCTTAGGCCGAAACGTCTTCAAAACTATGGCGGTGTCAGTTCTTTACGCTTTTACAAAGTCTTGCAGAGTCTGGCGATAGAAACGCGTGGAGGCAAAAACTACGAAGAATATGGAGGAGTGGGCGTGCAGCTCCACGCATTCCCTGACCTGGGCAGCGGAGAGCACTCGCCGACCAGTCGTTATCCCAGCTCTGGAACTTACGTAAGCGACCGGACTTTTCTTCGGCTCTCTTGTGAACCGGAACTATCATTCTCGTTCGCAGACTCTGATTTGATAAGAGAGTGGAGTTTGAGCTCTCAGCAAACTGCCTCCAAGTCTTGCGCTTATCAATTCGTTTTGTATTTGCACGAGGAGGAATTGTTAGACGCTAAGAGCACTTGTAGCCTGAATTACATCTGAACTTCGCGGTACTTAAAATGTCAGACCTTTCTACGCTCTTTTCTTCAGTCCCCATTCGTTTCCTGCGTCTCCCAGTTCTCAAACCCGTTCCCTCTGTCCGGTTTTACCCCACAGCCAGGACGCAAATCTAAGATTTGGGCACCCCTGTCCTGGATGGGTCCGAAAAGACCACAGACGATACGAGCTGGGATTTTAGATGACGAACGGAAATAATTGTCCTTCACAAAAGAAAAGCGAAGATAAGGAGCTTCTTCAAAGAATACGTCAATCACGAGCACCAACAGCGCAAGTTAAATTTCCCTTTCTTGGGGGTATTATTTAACTTATGATGATAAACTGAGTCAGTTGCCCTAAAACGTCTTGGATAAAGTAAAAGTTAAGCTGTTCCACTACACGCCATGTAGGCGCTTGGGGGGGGGAGTAATTTGCGAATATAAATGAGAATTCTGCACACTGGACCTGACAAAAGTCGAAATCTGGAGATGGTTCTTTTAAGATGTACGTAAAAGCTACAGAGCGTAAGAAAGCAAGCAAAAGCGAAGAGTCAAAGGACGTGCAGAATGAAAAGCAGAGGACAGAGGCCACGGAAAACTATCTGCAGAAATCTGGTAACGGGACACCACGGCGGATTTGCGAAGAGAAGGAAGGACGGAAACATTCCAAGGGTGGGCTAAGAGAAATGACCGACCACGTGATACTTTGGCGCTTTTTCCTCCACGTATGGTAATTTCGTGGGTCCTTCATTCCCCCACCTTCGCTCCTGCCCCCCACCCGCTCGGCGACTGCGTTACAGGGGAGATCCTCGAGGCATTGTCACGCGCTCCGTTCTCTTGCCGGAAAATTGAGGATGTTATTGAGGTAGGATTCGGTGCCTTTTGTGTGTATTTGTTATGGTGGCTGCTCGGTACAGTTTTTGTCTACAAAACCGCTTCAAATTCTCTGACAAACAGAACAGAACGCCGTCTGGCCTGCAAGGCCGAGCGACGCGTTCGAACATTTTCTCGATGTTGCATGGCGCAGTCTTCACACGACGCACTGTCCCACCGCGCAAACACCCAGAGACGGTCAAACAAGCGAATCCTCCCAGGATCGTTACGGATTACTACTAAAAAAAAATTCCTTGGATCAGCAAATCCATTCTGGGAAGCTATCAGTCGCTCAGCTAGCGTGTCCACGAATAAACTCTATTCTCAACCAGATTAACCTACACTTTCCTTTAACATCCGCTGAAATATTTTTCTCCCATCTACATCTTGGTATCCCAAGTTGCCTCTTTACCACAAGCATCTTTCACCTTCCGCCACAAAATCCTTCGTCTTATAAAATTTCGCGATGAATTATGAACCTCCTCGTTGCGCAGATATCACCGCTTGTAAGGTCGAAACGTCCTCCTTCGCGTCCTTTCCACGAACACAACTCGTATTCATCTCTTGGGGTCAGAGGACACGCATAATTGCATCGTGGGTAGACGAAGATCCACTGGAATATTTGGAGTTCTAGAACTGCTCCCTTTTGAGATCGCAGAGGGGAGGAGGGTCCGTCCCACTTGTTCAAGGCTCGAGTTGCTTCGTGTGGAAATTCACACGAGTATCGTCACAACTGCTGACTGGACCACTCAGCGACTGTCATGGCAAGCCAACGAGAGACACTCCCTGAGGTCAGCTTAAAACTCAAGTTGGCCATCACACAACGACCACGTACATGGAGGCCCGGGGGGGGGGGGGGAGAGAGACTATCAAGCACACAAGTTTCATAAAATAAATGGAGCGTGTGACATCACGCGATTTATGAAATCCAAAAAGTTCATTACCGCCCGCTGGACCAGATCAATCCACAACACACACCTTGCCTTCTTTTCCGCAGTCACAAACGCGCTCCGACTCTACGCACTGTCGACGATGCAGCCTTTTCCTGCTTTCAGGAAAAACCTTTCTTCGTTCTCTGCCATTGTCCGCATGAAACGCAAGGACCCGATCCGTATTCAGCCTCACGAAGCGACGCTCCAAAGCGAGATTCCGCTTTCCTTCTGCGTCTAATGAGCTCAGGACGTACGACGACTCAGGAACATTCATTCCATGATCCAACGCGTTCGTATCACGAAGCAAAGAATTTCTTTAACTCAACGACGCTACAACACAGACTGAGATTGTTTAGCGTCGAAGAAACTAAGAGGGTGATTGCACAGTGGAATAGAAGGGACTAAGAAGGAACAGGTGGTCGCCTGGCCGTGATGAAAAGAAATCAGGGAAATCTATTTCCCTCGAAGATACGAATTAAACAAGGCGTTCTGCCCCTTGAGCTAACCCGCTAGTTTACTGAGGCAGATAATCTGGTATCATTGAGATTAGAATTTAATTCCGGTGACTACATAAATGTGGCTGTATCAACATAACTGCAAATAATTCAACCCTGAAGATGGAGACATTTTTCTCCGAAAGCCTGATTACCTGCCTGCAAGTCCAACAAGAACCTTACAGCTCAAAAACAACTGCCGATATCAGGCTTCGGACTCACCGCCGTAAAAACCTCGGATCCTACAAAAAGCAGCAACCGCGAATTGTATACTCACCCACGGCACGTCCCCAGTTCTGTGGTTTCCATGGCGACCTCTGCTCGCCCTTTCTTCTTCTTCTTCTTCTTCCTCGCCATCTATCACGTCGTCGTCCTCCTCGTCTTCATCATCGTCATCGTCATCTTCGTACGAATCATCAATGTTACTTCTCAGCTGCGCGTAACTGTGATCAGCCGGTGATCTCAGCGCCGATGACAAAGCATCCCGACTCGGGTACCTCCCGGAGTGCGGCGATTCGTGACGGCCATTTCCTTGATCAAATCGCGTCACCGATTTCCTCTCCTCCGAGTCAAGTCTATTGATCAAACGATCGAGCGGCGATAATCTGCCGCTCGGGGTTGTGGTGACTGTCGTGGCGCTGTGGGTCACAAATCTTCCTCTGCTGACGACGCCAACACCAGCCTGCTGCAGCCTCCTGCTGCCGACGCCGTGGTGTTTGTGGTGCGACGACGCCCCAGCAGATCTGCCCTGCTGATGGCCGTCCCTGCTGTAGAAGTACGCGGCTTCGACGCACGCGCACAGCACCGCCAGTAATGTCACTGCCGAACACACGTTTCGAACTGAGACCGCCATCTCGTTACGAAGTCGGATTAGTGCGCCGTTGAATCAGGTCCTACGCGTATCTGGTCAAATGCTGAAGAAAGTCGTAGAGAGTGGCTGAGTAAAAGCACGGCGTCCCGAGGTCAGAGCCGTATGGACGCCACATTCACCATCAGGTGCACGGCGTCACACGAGCGGGACGACGAGGGTAAGATAACAACTGAAGGCAACTTGCACGAAAGTTACATGAAGTTCATTACACATTCACGAGGTGTCTCTGATACGCTGCTGGGAAGTGTCGTCACAAACGCACATTCAAATTTCTCTGGCCGACTCGACACAAAACACCTGTCTCTCTCTCTCTCTCTCTCTCTCTCTCTCCGCACCTCAGACGCTCGTGAGTTGCTTTATTTTTTGCATGACAGTCTTAACCCAAATTACTGCTCGCCCCAACATTTGTTTGTGTTGGCTAGAAGTTCCTTCTCCTCGCCGAAAACACCTTACGAAGATCCATGTTTCGCGCTTCGAATCACACGGATACAAAAATGTTCTGCCCTTGGGTGTAACAACTTCCTTACTTCCGAAACACTTCAATTCAAACACTTTATTTTATAAAATGACATTCTTCATTGGGGGAAGAATGACAACGTACCAAATCTGTACTTAAGACACTGTCGCATTCAATGCTTAACCACTGAAAATAAAGCTACGAAGCCTCAGAACCATTAATAAGCGTCTCAGTGGAAGGAGAGACAATACAATAAAACGGCGAAAACATAAACCAATTTCACACCGGCCATAAATTTCAAAGAAATGTAACAAACTTTCTTCTTTCGTACTAAAACACGACTAAGAGTCAAATGACCGGCATTCTACGTCGGTCACTTATGGCGAAACGCGAATTAGCTCAAATGCGATCTGCAGAAATTCACGCAAACCCCAGACACCAACAACGAATGTAACGATCCGTGGGCGAAGGCTTCTCCGTACTGCACAGCAATAAACATGTCCTTGATAATAGACACAAAACAACGCTGCCTTGTAGTCAAGCAATTATCAGGTTTTGTTATTTCGCACCCTGAACAAAGGAGATGATACAGAGAAGCATGTTGCTGACTGATTGTTGTTACACAGACATTTCTGAATGAATGGCAAGAGACACAAGTCCACACCTGTGGTCGACAACTGGGAATTCTGAAGCAATTTCAGTGCTACCGATTGTTGTACTCTATTAATTAACATACCAGTCAGATACGTCCACAAATTATATTCTCACGTTAACAATGAGTACCTAAAACACTTAAAATACGTAGCTGTGAACGCACTAACACAACAACTATTAATTTTAATAGAACTAGTCACACACCACACACTTCGAATCGATAAATGTTGCCTAACCTATGAACAAATCCAGGATTTTTTTAATTTAATTTTGGAGGTTAGGTTCTTAGTTTCAAGTTCCGAGTAAAAGATGTCACCACAATCTCGAATCGACAATGATGAACACGTAGATAAATCGATAAATGAGACAACAAACGACTTCAGAGCAGCGTCACGATTCCTTCCCGATACCGCAACGCACGGGAACCGTTGACGAAGCCACGTCCACCGCACGAAGACAACTGACTGGAGCCCTCCGCCCGCCAGCGAACAGGACTCGCGAGCAACTCCCACTATCACGCACTGCTTCGAAATCTCATTGGCCCAATTCTCCAACCATTTTTTCCAGACTCCTTTTGTTTTCAGCGCGGTCCGTTCTTACGAAAAATGAATATCGACAGGAATATTTTGTCTCGGCGCACGAGGCCTGTGCTCTTTTTGCACAAAACATGTATTTCAAATTATTTTCCTTTCTGTGTTGCGTAAAGGATTTATTATTAGTGCACGTAATTAATTATATGTTAGTTTGCCCAGACAGGAAAGCAAATTACTTGTCCAATATGGACAGGTCTCAGTGCATTAAGTTAGAGGCTGAAAGTTGTAATGACAAGACAAAAAACTAATTATATAAAATTAAGGTATAGACACAGTAGACATCAATCAGTATCTGGCACAAGGTGGGGCTACCTAATAAACCCTCACGTTTCACCTGAATATCTTAAAACAATAAGGAGAACCTACGAATTAACTTCCTCTCCACGCCATCCATACACTTGCACGATGTCGCCTTAATCTTTTACTGTGCGTATTGAAAGGAGAAAAGCTGAGCTTCACTGACAAATTATTTTGTATTGCAATGACGTATCAACTGGACGGGTTAGTGTCCACGAAGGCAGCGATGTATCGAAACTTAAAATCACCGTGAAGTCGCAGTTTCTACTCTCGACACCAAAACCGCCAGTTCTCAGAATCATTAAGTGACGCTGACTGAAGAAATTGTTCAGCGCCGTCGATTCATGCACGGCGTTGAATTTCAATTGAGGCTGATCATAAATTTGAGATCATGTCACATTATTATTCACAGCGCAGGCCCAAAGAAGATTCACGTTTGTTTTAAAACTGCTCTTCTAATTAATTTGTTTATTTTGAATCACCCTGTACTTAACGCCTAGTTTGTCTTATTGAGCCACCCTGTTCTGCCGCTGCGTCGGCGATCACGTGGAATTTTTCCGAAGGTGCGCACCTCGGCATTACCACGGAGCGGAAGTGACGTCACGGGGATGCACCAACAGGCCTCGGTTCGATTACCGGCTTCAGTGGCGTATCCAGGAATTGATTTGGGCGGAAGCGAGGGCCGGTAGGAACGGTGTTTTATTACGCATTTTCGTAAACTGATATTTCATGCTGAAATGTGTCGGCTCCGCCTAATTACATTTGTAGTAGTTGCGGCCTGCACCTCTCATCTACCTGATGATAGAAACAGCAAGTACTTCCGAAACGTCGGTAAATTCTGCCATAATATACTGCACTACGATCCACAAGACATTCATCTTCTTCATTACATTTTTTAAAATGTGTTCGTTTATGTAAACAACTCATTTATTTATTGAAAAGGGCGACATCATTTGGATGTAAAGGAAATGCAACTCGAGGGCGTGGTCTGCATTTTTCCGACTCAATATATGGACCAATGGCAAGCTCTTATTTCCACATCGAGTTTCTTTACTATCTGAGAGACTTCGCTCATCCTGGACATTAAAGCAGGTCGCGGTCATGGGTCCTCCAGCGCCCGAGTTCAAACCCGCGGGTGACTGACATCTGTTTCCGTAAGCGGTGGGTCCTGGTGCCCGTCGCTGCCGCGGCAAGCAGCGCCCAAAAGAACAATGAAAGTGTCTCAGCGTCTCCCGCTGTGGGTGAACGATCTCCGGGCCGCGTATCGAAAGCATCACTGATCCACTACCTGGGGCTGTTTGCTCGCCTTCCTACAGTCGGAAGGAAATATAACGCAGGCTGTCCTTTATCCCTCTGAGCACCAAATACGACGTTTCGGAAACCTTTTTTCGTCAGCAAGGTTCATTCTCCGTTAAGTCCTTGGACTGACGACGGGACATGACCATGACATCAGACAACCCGCAGTACCAAGCAAGTCAACGCAGAGGTACTGAATCGATGCTTAGAGATCCCCAGATGTTACCACATGAAACTAAGTCGGTAAGGTTCGCGGGGGACCCCCCCGGGAGGGCGTACCAGCCGTCGCGATTACTCTGAAACCATTAGCGAACAAATGAAATCTGGGGACAAATTGCATTTCTGACCATTCCCTGTAGCTGGTCATCGAAATGCGTCATCACGTCCGTCTGCCACCAAATTCTCGAACAATTGGTAGAAACCAGAGGCGGATTCGCGGCGGCCATAAAACTAATTGAACTGGAGCAACGGAGCGCAAATAATCTGCAGGCTTTGTCGCGGGGATGAAATGAGATGAATGCGGGGAGGGAGGGGTAAAATGGCCGCAACATCTGGACCAGGAGTTCCCACCGCGCGTCCAGCGGGCCACGGATACTCGACGAAGTTGTCGCTGCTCCCACGTGACACGCAGTTCCTTTGGGCGTAACCGGAATTTGGGAGAGTTCGAAGAGAAGCCCGGAACAGCCGTCCTGGTACTTGACACTAAAAGAACTTCTGGAAAAGGAGCCAAGTGTTGGCGCCGACAGGGCCCCGCGGGCGGCGGTACCTGACAGGTCGAAAGAAGAAGAAGAATAAGACACGGAACACGCAGAGGGAAGTCTGTCTGCATTGTCGAACATCACGTACAAAACAGAGCAGGACCGGATTACATCAATAGCCGCGAACAGAATCCCATAATACAGCAGAAGACGAAGGGATTTCATTCAGATTTTTCAAAAGCACTTTCGTTCTCCTGAACAATAATCACGCGAGCGTGATGGGGCTCGCGATAGGGGGGTTACAGCGTCGTGACAACTGCGGGGTACGAGGACCACCGGGGGAGGGTGAGGCCTCGCTGCGTACAGTGTTTGGAAACAGCGCACGACCCGCGGTCCGAGGGTTTTGAACGCAGAAGCAGGCGTGGGAAGATAATATTAAAGCGGATCTACGATATGGACTGAATTCGATCACGATAATGAATCGACGTATTCCATAACAGGCGAGAAGTTTTTGACTAGTTGCGCGACTGTCAGCTTCTAACGAAAGAAGAACGAAAAATGCATGTTCACTTGCAGCTTGAGAAGGGATAAACCAATTTACACCAAACTTGGCACGACAATGCTATGAGACGAGGAGGAGATTTATGAAGTGCGGCGCCTACGACTGGTCTGACTCGTTATGCTACCAACAATACGGCTGAGTAGGATGGGTTGCTAGTCTCCAAGGCGTAGATCGGAGGGAATCTTTAAAGTGGACGCGGGGCATGAAGCCGTGGAAACAGCTGACGTGGCTTGGGACGGGAACAGTGGCAGTCAACCTTCCGGTCCATAAAATACGTGTGGGCTGTACTTACATACCACGGCGTCCGCACTTGGATCAGTTGGCCAGCCTGCGGAGAAGACAGGATGCGAGCAGTTCCCAGAAACTACAGGAGAGGGCAGTGCGAGCTGTCTTCGTGCCTGCAAAAATGGGGAATGTTCTGGAAATGGAATTATATTCGAACTTAATCCTCAAACACGAATAAATTTTCATTCTCAACAAAGCAAGCGACTGAATACCGGAAACGTCGAAACGATCGCCATCCTCATGTTCCTCCGAAACGTCAGTACCTTCCTACGAGTCCACAATCCGCAGGACCACCACGGACAACAGAGAAAAATCTCCACACATTCGTCAGCGAATTAGAAAGGTCACGTGGCTTCAAATGATACGCGAATGTGGTCGGGAAATGGCACTGAATTTTGATGCCATAAACGAACCAGCACAACTTAATTAAGCCAGAAAGAAATTACAGAAGATAACACCGGCGCGTCACACAGAGCGAAAGCTTGAGTCTGGGCGATCGTTTCCTTTTCCAGGTTTTACAATTTCTACCCACAAACATCCCGAAAAAGCATCGCAAACCGGGCACAGCCTCTCGGTTGCACGCGATATCTCAAAATCTTATCACGCGTGGGAGCGCAGCTCAGAAAGTCGGTTAAGAACTGCAATGAGCTATCTTATCGCGAGATGAGGCCAGATAACGTATTCTAAAGACAACGCAGACTCTGGAACATTACACAAACAATCGATTCTGTTTTTATCAGACTCTGTTCACTTTCGATCTGTAAATGCTGAATAAAGTAGTTTATGAAGATCGCTGTTTCGCCTCGAAGCAGCGCTGCTGTTTGATACGTGCAGTGTATTACCGCGAAACAGCCTTCTTCATGGTCTCAGTGCTAAAGCAGCATATTGCATGTTGGCAACGAGAAGCGTCATAATTTGCGCTGTTATGACGACCAGATTGGCGAGGAACGCGTGGGACCAATGAGAAAGGATAGAGAATTTTAGGCGAGAGACCTTGGGGTAGATGGTGGGATAATATTAAAACGGATCTTACGTAAATAGGAAGGATTCGTGTGGCCCAGGATACAGTCCAGTGAGAGACTATCAGCTTCATCACTCCACCGGTATCCTGAGCCACACGACCTTCGTAAGACACACTTCAAGTTCCTGGGCAAGACGCGCTGTCACACCACAAGCTTTATTGCTTTACAGGCTGCTTGCCAAACAGAGCCAGGGGCAAATTCATTGTACTCTTTATTTGAACTTATGGAGTATAGCCGTTACCATGGAAAGCGTAAGAGCCGCCATGGAGGCCAAAGGAGCTGCCGACGCTGCCCGTTGCACATCGGCGGGGTTCAACTCCAGCTTGTCCCACAGCGACCTCGGGACGTCTACGAACACGCGGTCTCTGCCCAGGGTGGAAAGGATCACTTCCCGAAGCTTCTTTACGTTCACCGCGTCGTACTCGGAGCTCCAGACGGTGAAGGTGCTGTTGGCGACGCTGTCCTTGAGGCGTGCCAAGGCGGCCCCAGAATTGGCGGCCATTCCCGCCCGCACGGGGAACGTGACTGGCTGCTGAACGCGGTGTCGCTTGAGGACTTCTTCCATTGCGCCCACCTGAGGTACGACGACAATATTAAAATGGATGCAAGGCCTAAGACAAGTGTCTTGAGGAATGTGACCAAGTCGAAGGCCGTGGCTCGAACACTGACCTGGTCCTCGGAGTACGAGCCGTTGAAGATGAGTCCACCGTATCTCGTGGTCCAGCCGACAGACAGCGTGCTGTTTGGGAACTGAGACACACACAAATCAAGGAATGTGTCAGCATCGACCGGCTTCGTGGTGCTGTCAACTGGTCCGGGAAGAATGTCAGCGTTCAACATCACGGGGAAGTTTATCTGGGAAAGAAAACCCCGTAAGTTTGTCTTCTTACGCGAATTATACACACGCTCACTCTGTCTGACGACGTCGGATGTTTTTTGAATAATTAATTGACAAAAATACGGAAGGCGGCAGCACCTGGTTCTCCAGCAGCTGCAGTTGCTGCAGTGAAGGGCCGAGGACCTCCACTGTCTTGAAGTCCAGTTTGATGCCACAGCGGTGACCCTTCTGGTTGGCGGCCACCACCTCGGCCAGGAAACCTTCCAGACTCAGGTCCGAGACGTTGTCCGGCGGATGTGCCATCACCGGGATATGATCCCCCGACCCGCCTTCCAAGGTCCCGAGCACCACGTCTGCCTCCAGCATCATGAGGTTCTCTTCACAACACATCATACAAACCTCACAATCAAGCGCGAGAGACGTAATGTAACTATCGATTAACTAAATCGATTGCTTCAGAGTCAGAAATTTTCGGGAAAGAAATCTGCGTTCTACAGCGCAGAATCAGACGCGCCGACTTTTTCAGCGACCTCCGCGTTCAGTTTTCTTGTGGAAAGAACGTAACAAAAACTCATCTCTCAAGCATCGTGGAACAGAGTATACGTAGAAGAAGCCAAGACACTCACGACTATTCATTGCAGTCGCCGAGCTTTCAGTAAAAAAGCTCTTCTGTTAGCTTCTATTTACAAGGCAACGTCTACTGTCGTGCCACAGATGGCCTGTAAAGTTCAGTAACGGCACACATCTCGTCAAACTCCAAATAAAGTAAGACCTACACGGCAAACGTGTCTAACCGAGATATATCGTGCGCGGCATTCAAAGGGTGATTGACTACCTGTCAGCGCGTCCTGGAGCTGGACACGGCTATTCACTGCATGCCCCCAGGTCACCGCTGTCAGATCGTTGTCGATACCTGGAAAATTCTCCTGCACCGACATGGCCATCGCAGCCCACACCCGAGCCAACAGAACTGCAAGCAAGCCTTCATGTAATCACACTTTCATCAACTGCGAGCAATTCCATCTCACAAGCGTCGTTACATAATGTAAGAAGGGAAGAACACTGCGTTATCGGCTCTGCGGCTGGAAACAATAATTGTATTTGATTCCGAGTCGGAAAACCGCAACGGAAGACACCAACTGGTACCGAAGGGAGATATTTTTTAAACCAGCGTTGAAATAGAACGTGAGGACAAAGACTGGGCTTACCTGGTCCATGACAGACACCTGTTGGGGGGGGGGGGTCTTGAGAACGTGGTAAAACTTTATCATCATCTCACAAAAGGAGTGGGCATCGCCCTCTCAAGGAGGTCTCTTGACTCATAAAGTTGGCTGGTTTTTGATTCAGGGATCTATCTTCTGCTTGATCAATTTCATCTGCAGTTTCTCGGGTCTGTTCCGTGTAAGCTTTGCAGACATATCACAACCGGTCGCGATATAGAGGTTGAACACGCGCACGTCAGGACTGTACCGCAAGCCAAGAGCTATCTAGAATTCGGGTGATAACGGGCACTCAGGAGCAGTGCTGATGCTTACTGGGAGGGAAAGTCCAGCAGATAAATCGGCCAATCAACAGGCCCCGAGGTTGGCAACTGCTCCTCGTGCCTCAAATAATCAGTTGGGCCTTCAAGCGAGACAGAAATCGGTCTCGTGGACCTGTCAACACTGATAACACGAAATATGACATCCTCAGCACACATTTACTTAAGATCTATCTTAATGTTATCCTCCCAAGTGCATCAGGGAAGTCTCCTGTGAGACGTCAATTATGGCTCTCATAAGGGGCTTTTCAACATGGGAAATAGAACAAGGCCAAATTTCAAAATTTTCTGGCAGTGGATTTAGTAAATTACGAAGCGAAATTTCAATGTAATGCACTGTTGAGGGACGACTGCTCTCGTGTCTGGTCTATTGCGTCATAAATCCAGTTTCATCAGCGGCAACGCCCCTGTCGGAAAAAAACCCACAGAAAAAGTATTTGACGCGAGGCATTCAAAGCATGGAATGAAGACAAGGGATACGGAAGGAAGCGGTTGTGACGTACTTCATGGTATACTGCGTTCCAGCGATTTTGGCCGCTGAACTTTATGAATTCGAACCTCGGAGCGAGTCACTTAACACAAGTTTGCTGGATGGGACGGCAGCAGGCCGCGTACAATACACTCCAAATAAAATATCACCAATGTATTTAGCCCTTCTCTGATTAAGACGTCGGTGGTTTGTCTGTCTGAGTGTTGCGATACGAGGCGTTAACAATGTCTAGAAAGGAGATTGCAACGAACAGGTGGCATGTTGTTGACACTACACAGACTGTACTGACCGACGGAAACTCCTTCCTCCATTGAGTGGTCCGCTTACTGGGCACTCCCTACACTGTCAGCGGCCATAATCGGTGGATCCAGTTCTACTACTAATTTTATAACAAACAACTAAATAATCTTGTTACACACTTTAATTACAAAAATTTTGAGTTAAATTCAACCGGTACGTAAAAGCAGGAAGATTTATCGCAACTGTTCACAAACTTACAAGCAATGAACGCATTCACGACGGCCCTGAAAATTTAATGGCGCGTTTGACTGTTGGTGTTTGTTTAGTAACTTCGTTCTTTCCTTGCAATTTTACGAAACTTAAGCAGGAATCATAAAACCTAAACTTACAAACCCAGAATGTCGCAAGAGGCGACAAGGTCTTAGCAAATCTGATCCCACGTGGAACACTCTTGCACATCACTGACGGCATTGCTACGCAAACTGCTCGTTGATACTTCCTCAGCATTCAACCCGTCACCACGTCTCGGGACGCATTGTCACGCGGAAACAGGTAAAACTGCCTCGACAAGGACGGCAAGAAAACAACAACACGCCTACGATCCCATTGTACCAACTTCGCAATAAACAAATAGCCGGGGGGGGGTTTGCAGAAGTTCATAATACCGACACAACCATCGTTACCGACATTCTCGTAATGCTTAATTCTGCCAACAGATGGACGTTCACTCCATCTTTCTCACAAACTATCGATTGCCATATTTAAATCAATACTTGTTGATGATTTGTTAATTTATTATTATAAGACGTTGTTTCAACTGAACTAAAGAATATGCCCAATCTCAAAAAACAAATATCTGACGTCAGTCTTAGCTGTTCAATGAATGCTGAACTACCTCTCACATCCGGAGGAAAATCTCCATTCGAAAACCGTAGCCGAATTACACTTATCAGTCACATTTAGAGAATTGGTAAGTCGATTCATTTATGGCCAAAGCATGCTAATGCTGACTGAAAGTTTCCCGCCTTTCCTCCACCCATAAATATGATGATCACTTTTTCACCCACAACTTCCGACACATATGGCCATCCTCATCACCCCAAAAATTTATAAATAGCACCGAAATAACATTGCATTAAGCATGCAGAAAAGGCAGAGGGCAAGAGAGCAGTGTTTAAAGTTAATACAAGCACGTCATTACATTCCTTCGATCCACAAGTTAGTCAGATGACAATAGCACGTGGAATAAATCATAAAAAATACAATACATGTGTGTGCATGGGCAATTGGAACTATTACAAACTTTTCACATAAAATAATAAAGATTTCACATAAGGTAATGAACTGTTTAAATAAATTTCCGCTGTACAAACCAAGAAAACTTTTAAAACACTTACGAGTCATTTTCAAACATCAGAAATTCTTCAACAGAGTAAAATGAATGTGTATTTAATTTACTTTAAATTGTGACTTTTTATTCATAAGATTCGTGACACTAGAAGGGAGACTATTGAAAATTTTGATGCTGGCATAGAAAGCACTTTTCTGAGAGCACGAGAGACTGGCAATTGGTCTCTAAACCTGATACTTCTTTCTTGTGCTGCAGAATTTGTCTTGGTTTTCCACAATTATGTCCATTAATGAGAGTGTGCATTCACTTGGAAGAGAAAACACCTAACCTAACCTTTAAAATAGACTTCTACATGAATTTCTAGGTTTCCCATAGCCTATTATTGTAATAATTTTCTTTTGTAAGTTGCCATTTGATGAATTAACACAACAAATTATTCCAAACTTCATTGTAAAGTGAAAGTAGTCAAAATAAACTTATTTGAGTGTGTCAGTGTTGCTGACATGCTCCACCAGACAGCGGAACAATTTGATCAACATGATTTCTCCAGTTTTCAATTAGTAAACAAACAAATTTGATATTACATGAGGCGTAATGTGGCGAGTTATTTCACATAAATTGTATTACAATTGTTTTATTTAGATTTAAAGCCAGCTTTTTAGCGGTGAATCATCGACTAGCATGAGAGAGAGAGATCTAGGCTCGACACTGCACAGATATCATCAAAATTGTGACATTTGTGTCATCGGTCAATATCACGGGTTTCAACAAGTTATTTATTGTTGGAGGGAGACCTCCCTCCAAAACACTGAATTGACCCTTGGAGAAATCCACATTTCACTTCTCCCCAGTTTGAAAAAAAATTCTGAATTTCAGGAGATTTCATTTTAGTCTGTTGTTTTTTATCTGTAAGACAAGATCTGTCCCATTTTTGCAGCTGTCACTTGAATATCATAAAAATGTAATTTAGTTAACAGCACAAAATTCATTCAGTGGCTTGGCTTTGAGGTTAGGTTCTACAGCTACACTCATAATTAAGATTTAAGTTACTCGTGGAAAAGATTAATAAGATCACTGGCCTTTGGAATGGTGTGGCATATCGTCTGGTAAAAACTGACGAACGATTATGGGATGCTTATTGCTTCCATCATCAGAATCATCGCCTTGGTGATGGATACAAAAAACATCTCCGAAACACGGTTCAACATCCCTTCAGAGTAATTTTGTATAGTAAGTTCAACGTTTACAGACCTGCAGTCCGGTGTGATGTGCCTCTAACAGGCGTCTTGTAACTTCCAGACAACCATTTTTCTACCAGCATCTTTCCAACTAACAGCATGGCCGACTGTCCACCCTCCAACCCCAACGACCAGACGGCAGCACTGAACTCGGAAACGGAACAAGGAATATGTTCATCAATATTAGGTTCCTGGAATCCATTTGAAGTCCAGACAATTACAGAAATAAATGGTTTAATGCTTTTTGGAGATACAGTAAAAGTGTGAAATCAGGATATAGTCCCTGTCCTTTGTTAGATTTTAATAAAAACATAATATTAGAGTCTCCATTAAAAATAAACCTACAAAATTTTAATCGACCTGTTAATAATTTCTTCAAATTTTCGATAGCAATTCAAATAAACGTCTATGTGCGTGTCAAAATTTGCATTTTAAATAAGAATTAATGGTAAGCATCATCATTAAAAGACTCTACATTTGAATTCTTATTCATCACATTCTGGACTTACAGATTCTAACAATTTCATAAAAAACTATTGCCTGTGAATACTGATTGCAATTTCTCTGGGTTTTATTATAATGTATTTTTTAAGTTGAGAATGCGCTGGACCAGTGGCGAGTAGGGTGAAGGTCGGAAACGCACTCCACGATAGGTTTAATCATCGCCCTGATGATGGCAGCAGCAAGGACCTCCGAAACGTTGGTAAATTTCACCAGGCAACAGCTTCAAAATCCAGAGCACCACAACGGATATCGAACATTCTGGTCTGGAGCTCGTCTTCAGTCAATATCGCTGGCTTCTGTTAAGTCATACACAGTAATTAATTAAACTTGTTTAAGTAAACACCTCCCCATTTCCCAGTCAACATTTGCCTTGATGCTAATGTTTCATGGACAATAGGCTGATGCAGAACTAGTTGTGTTACATATAAGACAGGCATAGCACAAATCAGAAACACACACGGGGCAAGTTTTGAAGGAAAAAAACCTGTTGTAGACCTAAACGAGACAATTTTATGTCATACATCATAATAATTAATGACTTTTATGGAATGTGTAAGTTTAATTTTCATACGTACAATCTTAAAACAGCTTAAAGTAGAAAATGTCCACTGCAACAAGCAAACAAGCAAACAAGCAAACAAACAAACAAACAAACAAACAAACAAACAAACAAACAAACACATACTTACCCACTGTCCATTGGCTTACGATGATCTGACTGCATCCTCGTCTTCAGGTGGGCAGTTGTAATTATGCAGACTCTCATATTTAGTGACGAAAATTACAAGAAAGATTATAAATATAAAATAAACGCACTAGGCCAGTCTAACAGAACTCTTCAATAATCAATCACTTGTCTTCACTTTCCCTGCTTTCCCTGCAGTGAGCTCTGTCAACTGGCCACAGGTTTAGTAGCCCCGAACTGGAAAGTGCGTCATGAGAATGTTGGTAGGGGAGGAGGATAATATTAAAACGGGTCTCAAATAGAACATGGGGATGTGAACAGGGCGAGGAAATTTACTCTACCTTAGCGACTATCAGCTTCTCAAGAATAATTATGCTCAAATGCAGAGGCCATAAAGAGTGAACGGGCGAGGTTAGGAAGGAGACCGTCGTGGACTGTTTTTACGATGCCTTTGCAGCCTGAGTAAAAGCGTGAAAATCCATAAGACGTATTTTGCGGATAAGCCAACTTATTTAATAAAGTCAGCTCAGAGGACTGAAGACACGAAACGAAACATAAGCAGGTTAAGTAATTAATCCTTGTCTTAATTTTTATTTAGGGACATAATCCAAAGAGTCTACATTTTGTCGACATTAGTCGGCCGGCTTTTTGGCGTTTGGAGAGATGAGCAACTCATTCGCATTCAGCAGCAACGCTTCAAGGTCTCTTAATTAAAATTCACTCTTACTTTAACTTAATTAACAAACACCTAATAAAAATTTCATCCAGCGGTCATCATATATATCCGTAACACTTGACTGACCTTCCCCGTTCTCTCAAATTCGAGAGCAAAACGGATGTTGCTAAAAGTTGCCAATCTGGCACCTACATTCATGGCAAACACGCGGACCTGAAATGAATTCCACTGCACCCCTAAGTCCGTTAAGCGCTGCTTAAGTCAGGTTAAGTCCCAACGATTAGTGATAAAACAATTTCTTGTGCTCGCGGTTTGAGGAAGGGCGTCGTGTTCTTTTCACACCGCCTTCTGTGGTCCCGGAGATGCGCCCCGTCTCCCATCCGAGGCGATGGACACTTGTTCCGGCGAAGACATCAGAGTCTGGAAGCTGTCTTTGCGGTAGACGATTTGGGCCTGTTTACTGTCCGCCGACTTTCTACAAAACAAGGCACTGTTTCAAATTCGGCTCTTATTGTATTCAGATCTCAATTTTACCACAAATACGAGTAAGACGGACATAAAGGAATGTTTTGTGGGTATTCAAAATTCAAATTACATCGTGCAAACAAAAAAATATGACTGTGCTGTTGCGTTCTGTGCACCGAGACGACCGGAAATTGCTTTCCGGGTGCCCCACCTTTCGTTGCGTCGTGGCAGGGCCCATTTGTTGCTCCGGAAGACCCTGGGTGCGATGCTGAACGCCAGCATCCCGACACCCAGCAGCAGCAAACCCACTGAGCAGTAGAGACCCACGACGGAAACCGCGAGCAAAAGCCTCAGGTCGCCGGCGACGTTCGGCGTCAGCGTGGCGCGCTCCTCAAACCACATCATCGGGAAGAAGACGGTCGGCACGTCGTTGTACAGTCTGACTCAAGAGATGAAGAGCAGGCTGAGGTCGCTTTGTCCACATGCAAGGCTCAGGCATTACGCTAAATACTGAAACGCTTCAAAAGACAGCAGACGTCTGCGTAGTGAGTAACTTCGTGATTTATGTTTTTCCAAAATGTTATTGAGGGGGGGGGGCGAGATGGGCTGGACACGTAGCATACATGGAAGAGCCGAATACGTGCTTAAAAAATTGCAGGCGGAAACCTGAGGCGCAGATGGGAGAGTAATATTAAAACTTGTCTTAAAGAAACAGGGTTTGAACGTGTGGACTGCATTAATCTAGTCCAAGATTGACAGTGGTAGCTTTTGTGAATACGGTTATGAACCTTCGGTGTTCCATAAAAGACGGGAAATTTATTGACTAACTGAGCTACTAACAGTTGGTAAAAAAAGTCTAGACTATAGAACGTTGAAGTTACAGAATATATAATTTCAGCATTAAACATCGCTTAAGCGTTCATAACCAGTTTTTACGGCTTTATGGAACTTTGTTACTACGTTTACATGTCTACGTGACGTTAAGGATATTTCCTCGATAGGAAAATTTCATTACTTGAAGCGAAAAGTGACGGTCGTAAGTGTTGGTAGCATTGCTTCTCAGCGCGAGTGACGATGGCGTTGCGTGCTTGTGTTTGAGAAAAAACTTAAAATTGTGATACGAGCAGCAAAAATAAGAGATACGAAGTTGATTTTAGGAGCATTGATCATGGCAGAAGGTAAGCCTTCAAACTATTTGTTTCCGTTCACAAAACTTCTTGGACTGACGCGTAAGTTGTAGAGAGAGAGAGAGACGACATATTGCTGAAATCTAAATGCAAATTTGTACAAGTCTGTTTATTTGCATTATGGACTATGTCGTGTTTAATTCCACTGTTCCAATACTTGATATATTTTCCTTAATCTTATATTTGGGTGATTTTCCAGCAGCAGGCGTACATCAGTCGTCCTAAATGTTTTGCAGCATAACCTGTAATTAACTCAAATTTACATTTTAGTATAAATATGTATTTAATTAATTAATTAATGTAATTAAGTTGCTTTCACACCTGTTTTCAGGTATTGCAATACCCGGTATTTCATGTATTTTAATCGTTGTATGTACTTGAAGTACAATGCAGTGTGCATGTGTTTGTAAACATTGATCATGGAAATTATTTGGGGGGGGGGGAGCTGTGATATGCCCGCAGTTTTACTATTCAGCCGAACACCGAAAAAAAATGCGTCCCACTCGTAGACAATCAGAAATTAACGGATATATGCTGCCCACGTCTGTCCGTCCGCAGGATTCAACTAGAGAACCACTGGACGGATTATGATTAAACTTGGTATTGCCTCTAACATCGTATATTTTAATTTTCTATGAACATGGCGGATCCACGAACTTATGAGTTGGGAGCTAAAGCAACATCACTAAATATTGCATCATATAATAATGTGTGGTAATAAATATTAGGAAAATTCACAATTTTAGTAATGCATGAAACATTAAATAAATATGACTTAACCAGGATTTGAACCATTGACCACACAAAGCTATTAAGAACGCATGTCAGTGGTTAATTTAACCACGGGAAATGCATATTACTCCAGTACTGCCAATGGCAATGCATTTGTAGACAGTTCCAGGAAAGATCGTATTTCTACTGAACCATTGATAAGTAAACTATTTGATAATGACGGCACAACTTTCAATTATAAAAAATTCAGAATTAATCTGTGGTTATCATAATTACCCGCAGACTTATAAATTAAAACACTATTTTCAACACACCTGAGTAATGACAACTGGGATTAAACATTAAACAGCCATGAGGTTAATTAAAAATACAACACTTTCTAAAATATTTTCTTCAAAAATTTTTGAACCAAGTTTCGCCACCAAAACAGCGAAAAGGATATCAAAAAAAAAATAATGGGTGGATCACTAAAGGCGTCAGAACATCTTGCAAACGTAAACGAGGTCTTTACCTAAATTGTCAATCTAGTAATAAATAACGAAGTAATGAAAATGTACAACAGGAAATAGTGCGAGACACTTACTTAAGTCATTAAAGAGACTACACATGTGCATTGCAATGAACAGACGCTGGAGTCAAATAACGAGATAAAAGCAGTCGGAAATAGTGCAAAAGGAAACGGAAATATTATTATTATTAATCTTGAATCAAGATTTAAATAAGTTTAAGCCAACATCTCACTCCTCCTACTCCATAAAAGAATTTTTACCTGGACCACTAAAGCAACTTACGCTATGTGACTGGTCGGTTGAAGCAACAGGTTGATCTGCAGGCGCGCGGCCACGTCAAGGGGAATCCCAGTGGTCTGAAACACAGGAAAGGAGCCCGTTTGTGTGGGTTTACGTAGCCCGAGGATCTTACTTCTACGCAAGCAAACAGACGATCCCCGTAAATCGGAAAGCCTGAGGGGGCTTACAAAAGTGCAATCCAATTCTCTGAATCGATAGAGCACGGGTTGAAATAGTGCTTAAATTAGTTTCATGTTACGTGGGCAATTTTCTGTAGGGGCTGAAGTAAGAGCATTTATGGAATTAGTAATATTTTTATCATATAAAAAAGTACTTTTACTGTATCGTGAAGTTGCCGTACTTAGATGCGTTTTCGTAATTCATGTTATATTTAATTCAATCCCCCAGATTCTTGCAACTATTACGTTGCAAAATATGATAATACGCGTAATTATCGCAAATTATAAGGCTGTGAGGCGCATATTACAAAACACGCAATTATTATTGACAAGGAAAAATACTGACATACTAATTCATGACGTGAAAAACAGGGACTTCTTACGTAGTACTAAAAAATACACGTTTTTATTAAAAAATATAAAAAAAATCAGCGTAAAAGAATTAAAAAAACATTACTTCTCTTTTCTCAATTAAAAAGCCCCCAAGCGTTGATACGTAAACACCTGATCTGTTGGTTGCATAGAAGCACGTGCACAGAATGAGTGAACAGTCTTTTGTTTCCGCGAATTGTTTCCGCAGAGCAGCAAATAAAAAAATAAAATTAACCGATGTTGTGAAACAAAAATTATCTTTAATTAATAAACGTACCACGATTTCACATATGTTCTACTCGTATATGGAGGTTATAGTAATTGTAAGCAACAGGCTTCCTTTAACAGCGTTACCATGGTAACAACTGTAAAAATATCCCATAAAGCCCAAAATCCCTTAGCTACAAATGATCACCACACCATGAGATCATCTTCCAACCAAGCGATCATCACGTCACGTGACAAGTCGACACTCACCGGTTCCAGCGTCAGATAAAATCTATGCCGACTGGGATCTGGGTTCATGCCTCTGACAAGGCTCGCGTAGTAAGGGTCGGCGTCGAGGTAGTGGGGGTAGGACACGAAGGCAGGGGCCCCGTGACGACAGGAGGACACATTGAGGACCCCCTGGGGGACGCACTGGCCCCCGCAGTTGCACCAGTTGGCGCCGTCAATCGTCCCGTTGTCCACCAGCCTCTTTCCGAGCTCGAACCGGTATCCTGTCACGCCGAGCACCTCCACGTCTTCTGCATACTCGAAGGTCATCGACCTGGAAGAAACGTCGCCCGTGAGGTCAGGCGCAACTCTGGGTCTTCGCCTTATTTCATTTTATTCTTGGGCGCACTGAGCAAGGCTTTACTTCTAAGGAAGGCCAAACGCACAGATTCGCCCCAGCTACTGTACACTTATCACAGTGGTTAATGTCTTTGCCTCCGGAATCAAGTCACATACCTGCAGAGGTCCGCAGAAAACATTTCCACGGGTTTGTCCCTCGTCTGTCCGGGAGGAAAGAGTTCGCCAGCCGACCCGTTCACCTGACCACACTCAGCCTCAAAGAAGTCAGTCCGAGTGTCGTAGTTCCACTGCCGAAGTCTTCCCAGACGCGAGATGTCGTCTTCCCCCGTCTCCATGTTGAAAACACCTTCGTACTCTGCAGATCCATTTCTTGTATAGAACCAGCCGAATTTATCCGCTGGGATCTTGGTCTGGGCTAGATTCGGCAGTTTTATAGCCATCGTCAGAATGGGGTCACTGTAGCCTTCGAAGAGCAGTTCGCCCGTTGTCTTGGTGATCCAGACCTGCTGCCCCGTCATTCGAAACGCTCCCGACAGAGGGACCTGCACGAAGGCACTCCGGTACCGAGACACGGAGCTCGCCGCCTGAAACAGGTCGAAGGCAACCTGAGGCCCGCCTCACCACTAGCAGGTCAGGTCGGTCCTCCTCTTTTAAGCCCAAGTTTACTTTCCCTCGCTCGTGTCTTCCCCGCCCTCCGGTCACCAGTAACCAGACTCTCGGTTACAAGCCGCGTCAGGTGGCTGAACGGTGAATAAAGCGTATCTTCTGCCAACGTTTCGACAACAATCTCTGCTCTCATCTTCAGGGCTGCTGGGTAACAAATCCTTCGTTGCCCGCTCGCTAATGGAAAACTGGATTTGTTACCCAGCAGCCCTGAGGATGAGAGCAGAGATTGTTGTCGAAACGTTGGCAGAAGATATGCTTTATTTACCGTTCAGCCACCTGACGCGGCTTGTAACCAGAGAATCTTTAATCAAATCCACATTATAATTTTTGCCGTGTATAATACTAACATGACGGCCGCTCTAACATCTTTGGCGATTAATATTTTTTAAGATGATGATGATAGTAATCATAACAAGATATTGCGGGACTTCCCAGCGGGGCAAGGGGCATTTATGTTCCGCACAGAGTCTAGTGTGTCGCAGGAACAAGGCGCCCGAAGCCTGAAGCTAATAATTAACCTGCATCTGGTTCCGATGTTTAAGAATGCGCCCTACAAATCTTGACGGTGCGGTGATTTTAAAACAAACTGATTCGCCTTGTACGTCATAACCTTGGGATTATTATTATGTAATATTGCAGTTGTGACTGTTGTTGTAGTTAATATGATACTTACTGGGATACTAGGAACGACCCGTTATTCAAGTGCCTGAGCACTGCGAGTCACAACTTTTCGTTGGCTTGATCTATAGACATTCGGTAGGACTCCTTGGACGAGGGATCGGCCCGTCGCAAGGCCTCTACCTGTACACAGGACAGCACAACATCCATGGCTTGAGTGGGGTTCGAACCCACGGTCCCAGAGACCACGCAGCCACTGCGGACCCCAATATGATACTTAAGATCTGCATTAGCTATTTTGTAGGAGTGTACAGGATAAACACAGCGCCAGATTTTGGTCCTGCCTGTACCGCCTAGGATATAATGACAATTTCTTTTTTGTTCTTTCAGAAACAAAATACCTCATTAGGAGTTTGTTGTTATGTAAATGTACGATGTGTATCTCTTAGAACGCAGGTCACTACATTAGCGATAGCAGGTGTTTGCTTGACTCAGCAATTCCGGGCAGAATCAGGTTTTTTGACGTCAATGCGATTTCTAATAATACGAGATGAAAATTAAATTAAGAAAAAAATTCTGTCGAATTCTGGCAAAAGACACAATTTAAAAAAAAAATCACGTATTTAGGATTCGTTAAATGATTTAGCAACGTCTCTCTCTCTCTCTCCCTCTCCCCCCTGGGTGTGGCAGGCTTAATGCTGGAACAAACCAGGGCGACGAC